ACTGGAGTTAAAAAATGGCCTAAATAACTTTGTATCCAGGGAAAAGTGTCTGCAAACAAATATTCTGTTTTTGATATTACTTATTACTTATGATTTTTTATTACATACAGCCATATACACTAAAACTATAATAAACAAACTTCTAACATTTGAATTCAATGTCACAGGTCTAGCTATTGATTTTATCAAAATACACCATCAAACATCAAGGCCATTTTTGTGTAAGCTTTTACAAAAGAAATTACCAAGTAGCTGCATCTTGACTGAGTGTCTTTCATATTAAAAGTGTAAGTGTACAGAGATGATTGACGTCCTTTATATTACCCTATCATTGTACATTTGACTTTGAGTAGTTACACTAGCATACATCCTCCCAATCCTCAGACATACTAATTAGCTCATTAATCAACATTACCCATAGTGGTAGACTGATTTTATACACACAAAAAACGAAACACCCACAGCATCAAAGTTGATCATTAACCATTTTCTGTCGTTAGAAATATAGCAAAATACTTTCTATAACATCTTCATACAAGAGTTTGCATGGTAAGATATACTAAACCCTTCAGGAATACTACTATCAGGTATGTAGCTACAGAATGTCGTACGATCTCATAATAGCTCTCGTTGTTACACATTATCCGGTTTCTCTTCATAACAGATATTAGCAAAAAATATGCCATGTTAATATTTCCGATCATCATTTCTGCTGGATCATAACATCAAAGAAGAGTTTTTTGTTAAAGACACCGATTACCGACATAATTATTATTAGAATTGACATCGTTTTTCTTGAATAATCTCAATAATCTACTCAATTATCACTTATTCCCCTAAATGGATCTACTTAGAGACTGATTAGTTTTCTTGTCTCTATGTATAAAACAGTAGATAAGTTGAAACTAATGGACCATTATAAGCCTTGATATCTAGTTTCCATTTCAATTCCTGATAATTCAGAAAAAGAAATGTCTAGATCTTTCGAGAGTGAATCCCAGGGATTACGTTTGACTCGTTCTCGGAAGACGGAGTCTTTGAAACACTAAACTCAGTTCAACTTCAAAGGTTAAAAGAAAACAAATTACATTTTTACCTAGGCAGAGATAACAAGAAGCTTGCAGTATATCACTCCAAGGAATCGTAATGGTAAAAAAATGCATGATAAACGTTATAATTTTTATGGAGAAGACAAAAAGTGGATGCTGCATTAGTGAATTAGCCTTCAGCAATGGCAAAGAGGGGGAGGTCCTTGACAAGGACAAGTACACATACTGTTGATATAATGCCAGTTGCTGCCATCAAATTTAATTACAAAACGTTTCTTTGGATCATTCTAGAGTAATTTAAGGCCGATGGATCCAGCATGCCTAATACCCCTAGCTAATGGCTGGTAATGATTTGAAGTCTGTTCTGTTGCGTAAGCCATGTGATGGAGACATAGGGTGTTTTGTAACAAAACGCTTGTCTCTGAAATCTGGTCTAAAGAAGGAGGGTGTGGCATATCAAAGTATGAAATATAAATGATAGCAAATAAATATCAATATGATGGAAATTAGTTCTACTTAGCTGGAATTTAGGTAAAAATTTATTTAATAATATCATGCAAAATTGGCCATTTAAAACAGAAAACTGACTAATGACAGCATTAAATAGCACCAAGCACATTTCCGACATAATTTAATGGCTAATTAGGATTTTCTGCTGTAAAAGTCCAGATCCTACGATGCTCAACATGTTTTGTCACATTTCTGTGTCAGAACACACACACCTGAATCATTACAGTAAGATTTCGGCTTTGTTTACTCTGAAATGACATAATGGTCCTCATTATCTTGATAGCTTTTTCTTTTCTGAAATGATTATTTTCCTGAAAATTTATTTTTAAACAGTACGCAAGTGTATAAAAAATGGTAATATCAATTGTTGGGATAAGAATCTTAAATGTACAAGTTATGCAAATTTAGATACAAGAAAAAAATGTGAGGGTTCAGTGCTTTTAAACAGTATATTTGCAATTTTTACAAAAACTGAACATGATGGCCCACTTTAACACTTTTAGTAAACAAATCCCCAAACTATACATATTATTGATTTTAGCCACAATGTACTCTCATAATCCTTACAGACAGATAGAAAATCATATCTATGAATTTATTACATTATATTGACCCAAAATCCTAAAACTGCAGATCAAAACAAAATGTTTTCAGTGATGAAAAACTGAAGTAGATAGCCCTCACATTGTTCATAGTTTAAAGGAAAATCCTTGAAGGTGAAAAATTTCAGAAAGATAACCCATATATTGTTTTTAGTTATGACTGACCAGGGAGCCTCCTTCCTAGCAACTTGATGGCTTTCTAAAAGGGTAATTTGTAAATAACACAAGGATGTGTGCTTGATCCTCTTCTAAAATGGACTGTAGAGCAACATGTTATGAGTGAAAACTTGATTTGAATGACTGTGGTTGTTTAAATACCTCCCCATAGGTTGGGCCTACAACACATTAATTACCCTACGATCATTTAAACTGTTAACAAGAAAGCACATGAGGGAAAAATACTCAACTGACACATAATTGCAGATGAATTTATGACACCTGCATTCAAATAAATACCAGAAAGTTAGTTCTGGATGTCTGTTGAATTTTTCTCCAATTTTGTCACCTCAAGGGAGAAAACTGGATTATTTTACAGATGATTTGCAGTGAAACAATTTTCACTTCATGTAATTTGTTCTGTATTTCGGTGCAATTCTGTTTTGTTTTTAAAAAGCTTTTTGGTTTCCTGTCATAATGAGATAACACCAGAAAAAAGGGTGAAAAAATCGTTCTTTTGAATTTTCAAATTTACTAGCATCAATTTCCTGTCAATGACCATACCTGTTGATAGGACGCTAAACAAAACTAAACCAAACTTAACCCCAGCATCCGATATGGAACATCTTACTGTGAAAATGTCCCCATTATTCTGGTAAGAGGCTAGGTTTTTTTAGCATCTAACTTTCCATTTTTTTCAACCAATAAGAAAAGGATTTCATCCTTCAGAATAAATTTTGGACAAAAAAGGTTATGGTGTAAGTAACGATCTCAGTTAACAGTTTGAAAAATTTACAGAGTAAGACAATGATAGTACATGTACATGGACACTCATTTCGATTGACCACATTTCACAACCGATCAAAATCAGTGCTATTTCCTTTAAATTAAAAAAAATCAAAACATACTGCTTCATTTGAAATAAATAATGGCAAAATGACTTTGGTTTTTACTTAATAACATAGACATTCTAATAAAACATGCCAAAACCTGTTTTGAGCATCACAACTACTCTAAGGAGAGGCTAATGATTCTCTGTATTTTGTTAAATAACTTTTATCTGGTAAGAAAGGCAGTACTCAGGAGTTGGAAACAATAAATTATATGTGAAATGGTGCTTGTACGTGTTACAAAATGACAAACACAATACAACATTATGACCCAATAATGTCAACCTTTCCGAGTTTAACTCAAGTTCAGTTAACTCAAATCCCTATAACTAACTAAGAACAACGTTAAGGCTCAGACGGAGTCAACACTCGACTTGATTGAAAACATCAGGTATCTACATTTTCACAAAACTACTAGAACTGAGGCAAACGATTCCATATATCAAATATGAATTCAAATGTTTTCACGTTTTGTCTAATAGAATCTTTCCTGGCTGCTTTCGCAACAATACACTGAGGGAAATGAAAATATATTTCAATGTAATTGGATTTCCTTTTCTGTGTTGATTATGATGAACCAAACAAATATACATTTTAGCTATTAGACAATTTCTCAAATATGACCTATATTTTAATATACACTATATATCACTATGAGTTTATAGGCGACAGTTATATATTTCAACTACTGTAGCCTTGCGGGCCTTTGTGAAAGTATTGAGAAACAATTAGTTTTCTGCAGAAAGGCCAATAACTAATGACAACACAAAATTGCTATTTCAGATTAAAAAGTTGTTTTGATTTTAAATCACTGTTGTAAATCTCAAAGCAGATGTCACGTTGAAACATAATTTTAAGTATATGTGAAGGCAAAGACTTACAGACAACATTGAGGTGGTTTTTGTGCCAGTATGAAGGAAAGAATATGAAAGTTTAACATATTTAAAAAAAAAACTTAAACGCACATGATATGTGTTGTACAAAGTCAGATTCAAATTGTTCTATGTCACAAACATAATTAAAAAGTGATTGTTTTGATGTAAAAACTTCAAAATTCAATCTTAATTATTTTTAATTATTTGCAAAGAGCCTACTACAACAAGTGATCAACACTATGGTAGGTACAGTTTACTAGTCTAGTATGTCAAAATGTCTTCAAAATACTTTTTTAGATTTTGTCAGCAACACTGAATAAATATAAGGTGACACACAATACAGCTATAAAGTGGTGTTCCCCAAGGGTGTGGTCTTAGTCCACTGTACTTTCTATTTTCTCATGCTATCTCAGTTGAATATTTCATTTAAAAAATATTTCATTGTCCTGAACTGTTACTAGTTTGGTTTATAGGAAGGCTGTATCAGGGGTTATCTTTGCATTGTCCAATACAGCCGACACAAACCCGATTGATACAAGTATATCACATCCTACCAGTAGAACCCCCATTATACAAATACACACACGAAAACCCCCATTTATAGAGTTCTTCAGAACATTATTTCATCTAAAAGTAGACTCTAGAAATAACAATCTTGTACTAAGATATGTTTGGAATTCAATCATCTGTAGGATAAACATGTAAAATCATATTCACGAATATTTAAAAATGCTTCTTTTAAAAAATAATAATTTGGATTTTTTTAATGGATATACAATCTTTGGTAGGTTAAGAGTATAAAGATGATATATATATTCCTGATTAAAAATATCTCTCAATTAATTAAGCAAAAGAAAAAAAATCAAATAAAAGAAAAACAGGATAAAAATGTTATGAATGCTGAAACGGACAACAATTATAAAGAAAACAATATGGATGACAATTTTTATATGAAATATTTCTCACAAAATCAATTAAAGACAATTGATGATTGAACATATAACATGCAGGGCAACTTTAATCTCAACATGCGTAACCCATCATTAAACAAACATGACAACCAAGCCTCGGGCAAAAATGAAAACCAAGCTTCTGGCACCCAATATCTTACATTAAAATGTGCTAAACTCATAGCAAATATGTTCTGGTAAGTATGAATGGCAAGTTTATCATTCCATGTTATCATTTTTTCTTGTTCAAACAGCCCAAATGTAAATTTGAAATGGTACATATCTTGAAATTTAAATTAACATAAATCAGCTTGTATATATGGCTTGAAACTCAGGGGAACAAATTCCTAAATCTTCCCTATCCTACACCAAAGAACATTGAAAATACAATCCCCTTCAAGCAGGATACATGTATATTTCATCAGACTTTTCCATCATTTACATCATAAACATTTCAATTACATGTTCAAACACAGTATTAGGACAGTTTTTTCACTTTGTTTATCATCAGAAAATGAATCCATGTATCTTTGCTTCCCTTCTATGTTTCATACATTGCCATTAAAATATTTGGGATTAACAATTTCTATTATAGGGTCCCCTTTCTGTAAACTTTGGAGACAATTTTATTTAAAATAAGTACATGTAGGGTACTCCGTTACTGACTACTAATATTGTATACTTATTACAATTGAAATATAAGTACGATACTTTTATAAATTTATATTTAACATGTTGTAAAGAATCTTCAAAACCAGGTGCAGTTTTTCTAGAATAATAATTGATGTCTGGGGCAGTTAAACACAGCCTTAAAACATTAGCTTAACTCATTCTCCCCTACATTTTTAAACTGGACTTGCCTGGTCTTTGATTTGGTAAGATTCAAAAATGAATTCAGGGGTGAACTGGTTAAGAAAAATTCAATATAATTACTCCCAACATTTTCAAAACATCTGAATGTAAAAATTATAATGCATTTATGAACCTACATACGGAATTTGAGAAGATGTGTCAAAACTGCCTAAGGATGGATGACCAACCGTCTAGAAAAAGTGATATAAACAGCTTGTCATCTGATCATGGTAAAACCCCTTTCAAACTAGGCTGTTAAATTATTCACCTATTTATCAATACAGTGAAAGAAATCATTCAAAATATTATAAATGTAATTAAATGATCCAATAAATGTGTCGATTGATGCATTTCATTTTACCAATATTTCTTTAAATATTTCTTTATAATTTTGTGAATTTTGGGTTCAGTTTTATAAACAAATTCTGAAGTACATTAGACAAAAATGTACACAAGAAAATTGCTCATGTACAATATCAAAAATTTAACATGCAGACATTTTAAAATGGAAATAAATTGGATTTAAAACTATTTGATAACAAAATTGGTAACAACATCTTCCTATAAAATTGATACATAAATATCTATACCTCATATATAGACTTAAAGTATATCTATCATCATTTATCACTGATAATTAATTAAAAAAAGACTAAGGCCTCAGGGTGGGGCTTTGTCTTATACCCTATACACTAACCTTATTGGTGACAAGTACAAAAAAACCTAGAATTTCAAACTGAACCTTGTCTTATACCTGAATTTGAAAAGTTACCAGGTATGTAAGGACACCTTTTAAAACATCTGCAGATGGGGTGAATTACATTGTTAAAATAAATAGAAGACATAAATAAGAAATTCTGTTTCATACAAACTTTAAATATGACATATGCTATTGTTGAGCAATCATAACATGAATTCTGTTAAGATTTCAAAAATTGTTCTAGTCAAGTATTGTCAAACATACAGTTGTAATTGTGTTTTTGGAAACATGCTAATGTAACAAGAAGGCTTCGGGTAAAATATGACCTTGTGCACCCCTGGTTTCGAATTCAGAAAAGAACCGTACCTGTATCTATCAAAATTATACACATACATGTAGTCAGAAAATAATCAATCTAGGTTGCTACACAAACTTATAAGCATCATTTTCAAATCTTGATATAATATGCAAAAATGCAAAAAAATAACCTCAAAACCCAGATATCCGATGATAATCTCTGTAAACTGGGCGTAGTATTCTGATGTGGTTTTATAGTATTTCTTTATCTTTGATTCTTCACATTGATGAAGCACAGTCTATTTCCACTTTAGAGGGATGAATGGTCGAAACAATTATCTTCATTTGGCAGTGCAAATTGCAATATTCTTCAACACTATTCTATCTTTACTGAACTTTGTTGAATACTGCTACATATGTATAAAGGTGTAAATGTGGATAAATATAATAGATTATGAAAAGAATATTACCAGCTTTGCTGAAAAAGATCAATCTAACAATGGATGATAAGGGGGCGACAGAAGATTCATTCAAGGGAGATCATTCTTGAATGAAAAAAGAAATTAAAGGGGAGGTAACTCATATGAAACTCCCTTTGAAATTCACACTGAAAAGAAATTTCATTCTATACTTCATAAAATAATTAGTCTTTTGGGTTCCAGCCAGATAGATCTTGTTTAGAAAAATCTTAGAAATCCAGTTTTAAAAGTGAATTTATTCCATGCACAATCACTTCCGACAGAAATTCGGCTCCAGTATTTGGATACACATTCAAACAAGATATTCTGTAACATTCCAAAGGGAAATCACTCTTGATGGAATTTAAGACGAGGATATTTTTGCCCAAATCCAGGATCAGTCTTCCTTGAATATACCAGCACTTTCATTCTGAATAAAACTTCTGGACAAAACAAGGTGCATCACTCCTGGATCATTCACAAAGGGAAGAAACTCCTAATAAACTAATTTCCAAGGGAGACAACTTCAAATGATAAATCAACTGGAACTAAATTTCCATGAAATTTTTGCCTACTTGGGATGACATCTCAACTTGCCGAAAATGAAAACCATTGACCAAGTGAGATCTCTGGCAATGGTTTGTGCTATAAGTTAACTGGAAGTGAAACCTTGTCTGTGCCTTGACTGTAAGTGACACTTGTACTATTATTTGAACGATTGGACTTTCCCGACCGAGAGCTCGTCGGCGTGCATGAGCGATGATAAGATGGAGGCTGTGACTGCGAATGTGAGGAGTATGCGCTGTTGGCAGAGTTTGTGAATCCTTCACGATACGCAGAATAGATGGCGCTGTGGTTTGGCGACTGGAACACTGGCTGCATTGGATAGTATCCTTGGTGCATGTGGCCTGAAAATGGAACCTGGCGACCTGGAAAAGAAATTCAAAATTTTTGAAAATTTTAAGTATACCTGTTTCTTTCCCAACAAATATATTAACATTTGCTTGTACTATTATGGTGTTAATATTTGCTACTTTAGTAGAATTTTGCTCAATGTTTACGCATTTACATATTTTAATTTGAAATTACTTTTGAATGTTTTAATTCATGAGCCATATATCAATAAAAAAGAGAGAATTCGTTGACAAACTCTTAAATTATTCCTTTCACCTAAAGGCATTAAATACTTTCAATATTTCAAGCCAAAGCAAATTGATAACAGATTACTTGGACTGATCTGATAAGTATTTTGATGTTGTTTTACAATAACGTTAACAATCCATTGTAATTATTTGTAACAATTTTCTTACAAATTCATATTTAATTATTTTTTTGATCACTTTGTTTTCGGACCAAAAGAGAGAGATGGAGAAAAAGAAGCTCTGATGTAGATTGACGTTTCATGCATGCAATTAAATGTTTGCAGCTAAAAAGTGTGTCAACTTTCATCAAATCAGTGTCACAAACGAAATGAACATCCAATCAATTTCTAACCGTAGATTACCTCCAAAGACCACAAGGTACACTGATATATTATTTAACATTTTCATCCTGATTACAAATTTTCTGCACAATTGACAAACATCATAGACCCTAATTCCCTGGGTAAAATTGTACGTCAATGATCGCTCAGATCACCACTTACTGACATGCTCAATGGCGCCAAAAAATTGATTGTCTCCAGAACTTCAAACAGTTAATTACATGTATATCGACATGTATGAGAAGCAAGGTTCGTTAGTGCATTTTTGCAATCAAATATGCACCACAAAGATATTTCTTCAATATTATATAAAACATTTGAACCTCTCGCATGACAGGTAATAATAAATCTACAGATTCAGTCCTTATTGCATCTTCACTCATTTCCTTTCCTCAATGACATCTAGTATATATGCATACGAAACAGATACACTTGTTTTATAAAATGGATGAAATCAACTGGCTGTTCAAACCTGTAAATTTTTTTAAAACCTATGAAATATGCTTCAATTAGTTTGACAAAGGAAGTATTGAACGTAAGAATGGAAACATAACGAGTTTGTATCGTACAGAAGTTGATTAATAAGTACATTGTATTGTTTTTGAGAACATTTTGTTGTTAATTTTTTTCAGAAGGACAACATATCTCCTACAAAAAAATATATATTCCAGAATTCCTGCACACCAATGAAAATTACAAAACATTTTAGTTCACCAAATCTTTTGCTTTCATTATATTTGAAAACATTAAAACATTTCTTTTTGTACAATATCAATGGTCAGATATGAAAAACAAAACCTGATGCTTGGAATAAACAAGATAACAAAAGGCCTTAACAGTCACTGGAGTGTCTTGCATTTCAGGACAATAAACCAGTAACTAGGAATCAGCGAAGTAGCTTGGTAGGTTTTCAAAATGGCAGTAACTATGGCCATCTTGAATTTCGTATTAATACTTCTGTCCAGAAGATAAAATTTGGAAAATGATGTCAATTTCCATCATTACTGGCCCCATCCAGGTTTTTTGTCAACCTCCCTCTTTTGACCCCATTGAGGTCAGCACCTTGTTGTAAAAAAGGGTTTATTCCAATATGATCATTCAAACCTTTTCAGAGACAATTTTCTAACGAGGGGCCATTTTGTAGGATTCTTCCAAATCAAAACTTTTAACCCTTTCACCACTGTAGACAATATTTGACTCATCCATATCAATGCATGGTAGAGTCAACTAAAGTTACATAAGGGTGAAAGGGTTAAAATTCGTTTTAAATTGAAAATAAAATGACAAACTGGAAAACAGCCTTTTTGTATATAAATATCAAATTTATACATTCCTGGTATGTGTCTCATAGTAGCTCCCAGACAGAAAGTGACTAATATAGTTACCATTTATCTGATCAAGATTTAAAAATCTACATTGCACTAAATTGAGTATTTGGTTGACAATTTCTAAGTGCATCTTTCATGAATTCAATTGATTTATTTCAAATTTTGATGGACACCAATGTTGAAATAGTGATATTATATAAATGTATATACCTAAATCATCCCAACCATACATAATTCAATGTAATCATGCATGTGACAAATAATATTATCATACACTTTTTGATAGACAGCAGCCCAGCATTTGAAATGTTCATAAATGATTATTTGAGTGACAACCATGCTCCTAGAAAGACACAAAAAGCCAGAAAACAATATCCCATTTCATGGATCTCAAATCGACATTATTTAGAAATTAACATCTATACTGTACCGAAGGGATTCTAACATCATGGATTATTTATCCCTTGATTCATCATTCAAAAACAAAAAAATTACAGAGTTGTGCATTTTTGCTTCTACCATTGACCCGAGTGTTACAGATGCTTTGGAATGATGTGAATGAAACATTGGTTAATTTGAAATAATAGCGTCCCTGAAGGGATTTATTCTTTTCGTTGAACGCTCAGACAAAGTGACTCAATATGTCAATATAACTTATTGTTGACAAGGCAAAGCGGAAACAAAATGACCGATATGGCATATAACTGCAGACGGCAAGTCTGTGACAAAGCTGCTCTGGTTTGACTCATTCTACCAGAATTCTATCATACTTTCATAGAATGGATTGTCGACGTGTTTCGGTCATAAAAGCACCACAAACAGAAAATCTTAAGGAGTTGGAAACTCCGACCTTATAAATGTAGTTACCGTTTTAAAGAACAAATGCAAGCAAATAACTCAGTTGTTCAAAACCTCAAAGTAGCTTCACTCACAAAACTTCAAGATGAGATTGTTAAGGATTGTTTAACAGCATATAAGACTTGGTTTTGAAATCAAAAGCAGGGTTTGAAAGCTTACAATACTTTGAGCCATAATTTGTCAGCTTACCATGAAGTAAAATGAAAAATCTAATACTATTTTTTTTAAATGTGAATGTTTATTTATTTTGATTGTGTACATATGATCCTTCTTAACTATTCAATACAAAATAAGAGGCTCAATGGGCCTGTATTATTGTCCACTTCCTTTCTTTTTCGAACTAGACAAAGAGTTAAAATGCAGCTCAAAACATTGCAAAAAAGTTATTTTGATCATTTGTTTTTAAAGCCATCAAATAAAGCATCAACACAAACTATCTGTATATGGTAAAAAAATATACAATTGCCTCTACATAAAATGAAGTACTAGTAAACAATAGCTTAAAAGAAATTAAACAGAGCAAGCATGCACCAAATAAGCATTTAAACACATGTACAAAAGTTACAGTGCCAAAATGGACCGTAACAAATTCTGCAACATGCAACAGAAATTGAAAAGATTTTATTTTTGTCTTACCATTATTTATTTTACCTTGTAGATTGTTTAAGTTGTTGTAATGAAGTGCAGGAGGAGCACCATTTGTAACGACCGATGTTGGCGTTGTCGTGACGGCGCTTGGCGTTGACGATGTGTCCTGTGCTGGTTTACAAAGGATGCGTCGACAGCAGCAGACAATGGACACGATACACACGATGACCACCAGCAGACTGCCCACTGTGATGGTCACTGAGGCGGTCACTCCCAGCGCCATAAATTGGTTTATAAAGCTTTCATCTGAAAAATATATACAATAATAATATTTTAAAATACTCCTAGAATAATTCATCTTTTTTAATTACATATTCTCCTTGAAAAAATGTCATAATAGCAGGTTGACTTACAAAACAATCTCCATCTGTGATCAACACAGTGGAACAGAGCATTAAGAAAATGTGTCAGAATTTCCCACATTAGACTTAATTTGCAGAAATAGATATCTTTTGTAATTTCATATTTTAAAGCATTCCCCTCTGAAACACATGTGAACTCCTCCAATGCAAAAGTTGGAGTAGTTCATTATGAAATTTCAGGGATGAATAAGTTAAAAGTAAATGTCTTATTGCTTAAATCTGGGAGTTCAACTTCATATTCAGATTCAAGATCCCTGTCTCATTGCACTGTGGTATTTCATATATACAGTATTACCTACCCTTAATTTTGTTTAAGATCTACAACTGTAGCACAATTAGGCCAGGACACTTCTGTTGACTAGCTAGCTTGCCTGTTCTAATGAATTTTTACATTTAGAGCATTGTTGTCGATTATATTTTGTTTATTGCATTTTTATGATTTTTTCTCATAAGGTCCCATCCACTAGCTAAGATTTTCTCGTCAGAAATGATTTACCAAAGCTACACCAGAGAAAATAGCAGTGTCAAATGCCTAGTACATTTTTTGGAATTTAACCCATTCACCCCTGAAATTTCATAATTAACAATTCCAAACTATGAACTTTTGAAAAAAAAAAAACCCAAAAAACCAAACAATTGAGAGCCTTTTAACTTGCACTGTCAACTTTAAGCAGAAAGACTTTTCAACTCTTCTGCACAAATTTGCGATACATGTCAATGTAACTGACCAGATTTGGTTTGGTCACACCAAATATTTAATCGGGTGACCAGATATGAAAATTATAACTTGATAATGTCATGGTTTTCATATTCAGCAACTGGACCAGGTTGACCAAATCTGGAGTCAAAACTTCAGAAATGTCCCTGAGCAGCTTGGAGAATTATAATATTCTACTCTCCTATATAACTGTATCTCTTATATAACTCTCCTATATAACTGTATCTCCTATATAACTGTATCTCCTATATAACTGTATCTCCTATATAACTGTATCTCCTATATAACCGTATCTCCTTCTCCTATATAACCGTATCTCCTATATAACCGTATCTCCTTCTCCTATATAACCGTATCTCCTTCTCCTATATAACCGTATCTCCTATATAACTGTATCTCCTATATAACCGTATCTCCTATATAACCGTATCTCCTATATAACTGTATCTCCTATATAACCGTATCTCCTATATAACCGTATCTCCTATATAACTGTATCTCCTATATAACCGTATCTCCTATATAACCGTATCTCCTATATAACTGTATCTCCTATATAACCGTATCTCCTATATAACCGTATCTCCTATATAACTGTATCTCCTATATAACCGTATCTCCTATATAACCGTATCTCCTATATAACTGTATCTCCTATATAACCGTATCTCCTATATAACCGTATCTCCTATATAACTGTATCTCCTATATAACCGTATCTCCTATATAACCGTATCTCCTATATAACTGTATCTCCTATATAACCGTATCTCCTATATAACCGTATCTCCTATATAACTGTATCTCCTATATAACCGTATCTCCTATATAACCGTATCTCCTATATAACTGTATCTCCTATATAACCGTATCTCCTATATAACCGTATCTCCTATATAACTGTATCTCCTATATAACCGTATCTCCTATATAACCGTATCTCCTATATAACTGTATCTCCTATATAACCGTATCTCCTATATAACCGTATCTCCTATATAACTGTATCTCCTATATAACCGTATCTCCTATATAACCGTATCTCCTATATAACTGTATCTCCTATATAACCGTATCTCCTATATAACCGTATCTCCTATATAACTGTATCTCCTATATAACCGTATCTCCTATATAACCGTATCTCCTATATAACTGTATCTCCTATATAACCGTATCTCCTATATAACCGTATCTCCTATATAACTGTATCTCCTATATAACCGTATCTCCTATATAACCGTATCTCCTATATAACTGTATCTCCTATATAACCGTATCTCCTATATAACCGTATCTCCTATATAACTGTATCTCCTATATAACCGTATCTCCTATATAACCGTATCTCCTATATAACTGTATCTCCTATATAACCGTATCTCCTATATAACCGTATCTCCTATATAACTGTATCTCCTATATAACCGTATCTCCTATATAACCGTATCTCCTATATAACTGTATCTCCTATATAACCGTATCTCCTATATAACCGTATCTCCTATATAACTGTATCTCCTATATAACCGTATCTCCTATATAACCGTATCTCCTATATAACTGTATCTCCTATATAACCGTATCTCCTATATAACCGTATCTCCTATATAACTGTATCTCCTATATAACCGTATCTCCTATATAACCGTATCTCCTATATAACTGTATCTCCTATATAACCGTATCTCCTATATAACTGTATCTCCTATATAACCGTATCTCCTATATAACCGTATCTCCTATATAACTGTATCTCCTATATAACCGTATCTCCTATATAACCGTATCTCCTATATAACTGTATCTCCTATATAACCGTATCTCCTATATAACCGTATCTCCTATATAACTGTATCTCCTATATAACCGTATCTCCTATATAACCGTATCTCCTATATAACTGTATCTCCTATATAACCGTATCTCCTATATAACCGTATCTCCTATATAACTGTATCTCCTATATAACCGTATCTCCTATATAACCGTATCTCCTATATAACTGTATCTCCTATATAACCGTATCTCCTATATAACCGTATCTCCTATATAACTGTATCTCCTATATAACCGTATCTCCTATATAACCGTATCTCCTATATAACTGTATCTCCTATATAACCGTATCTCCTATATAACCGTATCTCCTATATAACTGTATCTCCTATATAACCGTATCTCCTATATAACCGTATCTCCTATATAACTGTATCTCCTATATAACCGTATCTCCTATATAACCGTATCTCCTATATAACTGTATCTCCTATATAACCGTATCTCCTATATAACCGTATCTCCTATATAACTGTATCTCCTATATAACCGTATCTCCTATATAACCGTATCTCCTATATAACTGTATCTCCTATATAACCGTATCTCCTATATAACCGTATCTCCTATATAACTGTATCTCCTATATAACAGTATCTCCTATATAACTGTATCTTCTATATAACCGTATCTCCTATATAACCGTATCTCCTATATAACTGTTTCTCCTATATAACCGTATCTCCTATATAACCGTATCTCATATATAACTGTATCTCCTATATAACTGTTATCTCCTATATAACTGTATCTCCTATACAACCGTATCTCCTATATAACTGTATCTCCTATATAACAGTATCTCCTATATAACTGTATCTCCTATATAACCGTATCTCCTATATAACTGTATCTCCTATATAACTGTACATATCTCCTATATAACCGTATCTCCTATATAACTGTATCTCCTATATAACTGTACATATCTCCTATATAACCGTATCTCCTATATAACCGTATCTCCTATATAACCGTTTCTCCTATATAACTGTATCTCCTATATAACCGTTTCTCCTATATAACTGTATCTAAATAATGCTATAGGTAAGGTCATGCTCTTTACTGCACCCTTCTTCAATTTCATATCTATATGGTTTTTTATAAAATAAAATCGGCTGTAGAATCTTAATTCTGCACTGATTTCAACAAATAATTAGTTGTCTCAAATTTTATTTAGCTACCAGTATATATTCGTTTCAATTATTTTGCCATGTTACCTATTTAGCTACCAGTATAGATTCGTTTTAATTATTTTGCCATGTTACCCTATTTAGCGACCAGTATATATTTGTTTTAATTATTTTGCCATGTTACCTATTTAGCGACCAGTATATATTTGTTTTAATTATTTTGCCATGTTACCCTATGTAGAATGATGTATGTACTCATTGACTCCTTAAGCAAATAATGTGTCCTTACAATCCTAAATGAACATGATACTTTTATTCAAAGAAACAATTTATTGTACGGGTCACATTTGCGTAAATAAGCTTTAACTTTAAACGCATTTTTAATTTTTCCTATTGGATAAAAATTTAAACAACATTTATGCATTGCCTGATTCCAAAACATTACACTAAATGTTTCCTGACAAAAATCCAATTTTCCCTTTCATTCAACTCAATTACATAACTCTTTCTGCCTTTTAACATTTTACAAAACGAACAAACACATTTCACAACAAAAGCTATGCCTGTCCTTGCAGAGTGAACTTAAGTCCATTGAAATCTGACATTACACGCTCGGTTGCATTTTAATCTTTATTTTTTTCGCACCACATTGAATTTCATCAAAATATCTGCACCAGTTTTCCCCACAGAGAAATCAAAACCAAATAGCTTTACACAACTGAAACGAAAAGTGTTATCGACAATTTGTTGAAAGTTTAAAATCTCTAAAAGGAATTGATTTATATGGAATTCTTTTGTCCTCAGTGAACTTTTTTTTCCAAACAGAAATTGAAACATCAGCGAAAAAGGCATATGGGCGGTAGAGTTTCACATTATATGGCAGTTGACAAACTACATAAGATTAACCTTAGCCATTTATCTCAATCGTGGAATATATTTCACATGAAATCACAGACAAGGAAGGAACATGGCTGACATATTGCAAAGCATCAATCTACAATGCAGACAAATTCAGTCTTTTGCAAATGTCAGCAAGTGATTATCTTCCTCATACCCTTGAAATTATTTTCTTGCTTTTAACTTGGCAGATCATTTGTTATTAATGAGAAGTCCTACAATGTAGTGATTTATCTACCTATAATTCACCGGGGCCTGTGCCTTGTGACTTTGGGGGAAATGTCACATACAAAAAGC